AAATCATGCTCCTCCAACATTTGATAAATAATTCTCCGCGTAGATACCGTGAGGAGATTTGACAAAACAGTTCATGCGTGCATATGAGCGAAAATATTGGAATGAGCCGAATAATGCCAGTTATGTGTCAAACTCCTTTCGCATGTATGCTCGATTTTAAAAGTTGTGATTCTCCACATGTTTTGATCTGTCGTCGCACATAACTTGTAAGAACACTCTTCATACTGACAAATTGATAGTAACCTAGATTTGTAGGATTTCGGTGTTCGACACCCAACATTTTGCTACATTTTCAATTAATATGCGAAACATTTTCTGCTGATATGCGATTCGTGATATGGATCGACCAAAAACGTCGGATAGTCCTGAATGCGACTAGTGAATATGCGAACATAGTACGCAATAATTGGTAACTATACGACGTTATAGATTTGGATATGTGAGTCGTAGACTATGCAAAAAAAATATCGCATTTGGTAATGTGCGATTACAAAATATGTGAAAGTATTTCGAATAATTATTAATTATGCATTTGATTTGGACGCGAGTGGTATGTATGCAACAAACTCCCGCATAGTTGTTAATTATGCAGTTCATTAGGATACGCAAATATGATATCCCATATCATTTTATGACATCTGGGTTAAAAAAAGAAGTTTTCTTATAAGAAGGTTAGGTTGTTATTGGATTTTGAGTTTGGATTAAAATAATATTTAAATTAAAATAATTAAAGTTGGTTTTGATGTAAAAAATATGAGATAGATGATGTGAATTCATAATTAGTTAAAATTATGTGAGCGGATGAACGGTGAATTAAAATTGATGTAATGTATAAGGATGATTGAATATTATTATTTAATTATATTGATAATATTGAAGATAGTGATAGTACGTTAAAATTTAAATTAAAAAAGTGACTCATTAAAATGATTGATTTTGTTTTGAAAAAACTTGTATAAAAATGATTGAATTTGTTTTTGAAAGAATTGTATAAGCATGCACTATATAGACTATAGACGCCATATGTCAGCGTTTGCCCCAATAAAATTTGAAAAACCAGTCTCTTCCCAGTCCCCATTTCGCGAAAAGCTCTTTTATGAAGATTTTCAACTGATCCGCCAAAGATTTTTTTTTTTTTTTTTTAAATTACAATTCTTTTCAATAATTAGATTTTCATTTCCTAGTTCGAACAAAGATCCAGCAGAATGTACGAACCCAAGCAGCAGAATTTCTTGGATTTGCCGGAAAACAGTGGTTTCGGGTCGGACCCAAAATCATGGCTCTCCGGCGATGACCTCAGCCGCACCCTCTCTTCCCTCTCCGCCGCAGCTGCCGCCGCCTCTTCTACAGGAAATGTCGACCGCGTCCTCTTCAACGATCTTGTCGAGATGGTTCCTCTTGTCCAGTCCCTCATTGTAAGTAACACTCTTTTTCAGTTTTAATGGTTATCAGATTCAGATTCAGATTGCCCCTTTACTTTTCCCCCAAAAAATAATGATTTTTTTTTTTTCTATTTGTTTTCAAATTTGATGTTAGGATCGGAAGGCGAACTCTTCCTTTACAAGACGGGGATCGATGATCTACACCAAGACGCCTTCTAGAGAATCTCTGTACAAGAGGGTAATGATTTATCTCTTTGGTATAGTTTCTTCATTTTCTTGTATATTATCCAGTTCAAGATTTTACTTGACATAGCCGCCAAGTAGATGGCTGCACATGTCCTTTGAATTCATGTGTCTCATGGAGTTGTGAGTAGTTCTACTCTTAAAGTCTCAATTGTGCACATGCCGTAATTTCATCTAAGCATTCACCTGGTGTAAGTTTCGTGCCAACGTTGACAACCTCCATAACTGTCTTTCCTTTTGTTTTGCGTATAATTATGCCGCACGACTTCGATTTTGATGTATTCAGTTAGTAGAGTATCGTTATATTGGGGTATCACTTGCTGTGGATGTCACAATTCCTTAGTGTTGTGAAATTAAGTTCAAGTTATTTTTCTTTGTTACTGTATCTTGGACTCCAATTTTGGTTCTACAAGGATATTGAAGATCTGCACGTGCATTCGAGAGTAAGTTTTTGACATAAAAGGATAAGTCTTCAGTGTCTGACTAATGGATTTCCGCCACATGATGAAAAAAGACCTTGGTTCTCTACACTATTTTGTAGGCCTTGAGGTTTAATCCTATGCGACGGGTATTTTTTTTCATCAGCACAAGTACATTATTGACTTGATTTCTTTATTCGGTCTTACAAACGCCACTCTAGTTGATACTCCTCCTGAGGTTAATGTTAAATATCATCGAGATGATGGGGATTTATTATCTGATTCATTATTACAGCGTCCTAAATTACGTTGCCTTTGTTGTCCAACTAGTGAGTCAATTTGTGCAAACTCCTAAAGTTTATCATTACCTAAAGTTTATCTTCCACACATGCATATATAATGCATTGATATATGCACATGTTTTTTCCTTTCTTTTTCAATAATTAAACCTTTTTGTTGCTTGTCACCTCTTCCGTTCAATTAGCATTAAATTAACTATCCTTTTATAATCTTTAATTTCATTTTTCATATGTCAAATAATTTGGAACATTATAAGTAGATATATAATATTTAGTCCCCCAAATTTTATTTTGTAGTGGTTGCTAACATTTTACATTTGAGTGGTAGTACTGAATTATATTATTGTTATTATTATTATTATTATTATTTTTTTTTTGTGTATATGCGTTGAAAAAATATATCAAACGACGCAATGCATCTTGGGTCGCTATGGAAACAGCCTCCTTGTATAATTACAAGGGTAAGGTCTGCGTACGACTGACCCCCCAGACCCCAACCCGTTTGGAAATATACTGGGTATGTTGATGATGATGTTGATGATGTGTATATGCGTTGAGGTTTAGGCTTAACCATGTCATAATAGTTATGTAAATATGTATCTACTGATAAATTCAAATAAGTTAACTTAAATATATTAATTCAATAGTATATAGATTACCTTCATGCTCGTGCGCACACACAAACGCCCGGCAGTTGTCCAATCTGCTGCTGCCTTGTGGCTACTAGGAGAATGTGTCACTTTCCCTGTGCTGACTGGGTAAGCTACCGGGGCCGGTAGATTTCTCAACGGTGGTGCAGACGTATTTGTTTAATATAATTTGTTAGGTTTATCTTTTGATGGAGTATTTTGGTGGCTCAAAAGTTTCATCACGGAGTATTTGTTATTGATTAAATAAACTAAATAGCCTAGTGTTGCTTTGATTGAATAAATTAGTCATATGAAAATTGTATGTTGGCATGAATATATCCTTTAACCAATCGTGCATTTTTATATGTACTCATCTCTCTTTCACCCTACATCTGAGGTGAATATTTCCCTTAGCCCCTAATCAAAATACCTTGTGATTCATTTTGATATTCTCCTTTCCCCATTGGTGACCAAAACTGAAGATTCATACACAAGGTGCTGCATACTAGATAGCGTTAAAGAACTCTGATAAAACTATCTCTATTGTAGGCTTGTATTTTGGTAATTGTAATTGCTGCTGGTGTCAAATTTCTGCTTAGAAATGTTTATGCATAACAATTGTCTGCTACCCTCTGTATCAA